GGGCGCCCCCTTTTTCGATCGGCGCCCCTCCCCCACCTCCCCCGGGCAGGCGGGGCAGCGAGGGAGGAGCCCTTCGCGTTCCGTTCCTTCCTCCGTTCCTCGGAGGATTCCCCCTTGTAACGTGGCAGGCCCGCGCTGGTGCCCGAAACGAAGGCCGAGCTTAAAAGGATCCATTCTTGCCATCATATACTTCAGGGGACCCCCGGGCAGGCGGGGCAGCGAGGGAGGAGCCCTTCGCGTTCCGTTCCTTCCTCCGTTCCTCGGAAGATTCCCCCTTGTAACGTGGCAGGCCCAGGGGAGGCCCGCACTGGTGCCCGAAACGAAGGCCGGGCTTAAAAGGATCCATTCTTGCCATCATATACTTCAGGGGAGGCGCCAGTTCGGCCCAGGGGACTTCCGGTCACGTCGAAGGTAGTTATTGGGCAGGCTGAGGGCAAATCATCATCTTCATCATCATCTTAAAACTGCGGAAGAGCTGGGAGGGACCCTCTGGATGATCGAGTCCGGCCTCTCTTTCTCTTTCTCTGTCTCTCGAGGAGGCCCAAGGGGGAATCGAACTCCCAACCTGCCGCCAGAGACCTAAACCACTGAGCTGTCCAGTAGTAGGGTCAACATCCTCACCTTAGAACAGCAGAGCTGGAAAGGGACCCTTTGGATCATCAAGTCCAGCTCATCTTAAGGAAGCCGAGTGCGGGGAATCGAACTCACAACCTCTGGCTCCCCAGACAGAGGTTTAAACCTATGAGCTATCCAGTAGTTCATTAAGAATCATCCTCATCATCATCCTACAACTGCAGACCTGGAAGGGACCCTATGGATCATGGAGTCCAGCCTTTCTTTCAAGGAGGTCCAGTGGGGGGAATCGAACTCGCAACCTCTGGCAGAGACCTAAACCCCTGATCTATCCCGTAGTCTGTATTTCGGACCACAGCCACTATTTTTTATTTTCCAGTCAGGAGACCCTTCAGTTACACACCTGCTATTTCAAGGGGCATTCAGACCCTTCTAAAACAGTCGTGAGTCTCTTGCTCTCTCTGGAGCTCACTGGCAGGAAAGGTTACCTGCCCTCCCCAACCCTCCCATCCCACGTTCAGTGAATAGAGCTGGAGGGAAGGATGACTGAGCTCTCAAGCAACGTCCACCCACAAAAGATAAGGATCCCTGGTGGCTGGATGCTCTTCAGCATCAGCTTCAAACCCCACCCCACCCCCTTAGATGTGCTCCTTCAATGTGAATGCAGAGGCAGTGCTAAGGCCTGGCAGATGGGCACCATCCTGCTTCCTCTTCATGTTCCCAAGTCATGACTTTGTGTACAGTTTCACCCACATTAAATTTCGGTTCCTTAGATTATGTGCAGCCTCTTACTTTCTGAGGCACTCATTCAGAATCTTTCCAGCAGCAGGGCAGACAGAAAGCAGGTAAGCAATAGATTTGAGTTAATTAAGGTAGGGAAGGGAAAGCAAGGTGTTTGAAGAGACCATCGGTTCAGTTTTTATGGGGAAAACAAATCCACTTGGCTGGGCATGTACTTAGGAGCACCTTTAGTTTTAAGCCTACTTCTGCATTCGTGTTGAGGGGAAAAGGCAAAGCAGGGCTTGCAAACTTCGAGTCAGTGATGCCCTGGCCTAAAGTTTTTCTGAAATCATCTGGAAAGGGGAGAGAGAAGCATTCTCGATGAGCATGTCCCCTTAACCTCCAAACAATCTCTTGTCATCGTTTTTATTTAGATGATAAACAGCAGGGTTGTCAGAAGGGAACGCAGCAGCCCCTGAAGTGTCGAGCAGAGGTCCTCTAGCAGCGCTTTCTGGTGCCTATCCTCTAGTAAGGACTGGGCTGCAGCCGTACCCACATCCCAGTGAAATGATCCAGGAGGATGCCAATATGGGAAGGGTTGCGCTGTCCTTGTCAAGCTTAGTGCAGATCAGCGGTTTCCCAAGCTTGAGGGCCTACCTCTTCTGGAACGACAATTTCCTGAAACCGTGACCACTGCTCTGGAAAACGTAGTGTGAAAATATTTGGGAGCCCCACATTTATGAATATTGGTGCCAGTAATCTACCAGTCGATCTTTCAAGTCCAAGAATAATTTGGAAACTAGACTTAGCTTCTTCTTCTATAATCCTTCATCTCACACTACATAGTAGAGAGATTCCGATGAAACATTTCTCAGAAGTGACTCCCAGGGAGAGAAGATGGGAAGAAATTATTATTTGGTGGTGTCTGCTTCAACCAAAACGGATGTTAATTCTTTGGTTAATCCCCTGGCTAGCTTTTTTTTATGGTAAACGGGGAATTGACTGAAATGGCACTAAAGGTTTCTAGCCATGGTAGAAGTTCTGAGGCCATTCCTATTTATTAAACAAGGTTCATCACAGGAAGTTGAATCTGGACTTCTTTCTTGTGAGTGCAATGACAAATAAATTTCTTATGTCTTATGTCTTGTTAGGTTGAAACATTTGAGAGAGGGGCTCAAGGAGGCATATAGAAAGTTCCTCACTATTTTAGACAGAGAAGATAGGTGGTTTGAGAGAGGGGCTCAAGGAGGCATATAGAAAGTTCCTCACTCAACAGGGGTGAAGACTTAGATGCAATCTGTTTCCTGTTTATCCTGCTGTCCTTTCATCTGACCCCAGAAAGATTAGGACCCCACACACCAGAAAGACCACTGTTAATGACCGTTAACGACCCATGACAATTGGTGGAGAAGGACTGCAGAAGTGGGATTATCCCTCACCCCCAGTCCTTTCTCCTTCTAAAGATCCCATACAGTCCAGGAGGAAATGAAACCCAACTGGGAGGGTCTATCAGGGTCTCCTACCAACTTTCCTCAGACTGAAGCAGCTCCTTGGATGAGGAGCAAAATGTTTCAACCTAACAAGAAAGAGGTCCTGTTGCCATGAGTCAACTTTCAGATAACCTCATCTCAGGTATCGGGGGACAGGTCTCTCATGGTCTTGAGTGCTCCCAGAGGGATCTGGCGGGGCCACGGTGAGATCCAAGAAGCTGGACTAGAGGGGCCAACCTCATCTCAGATATCGGGGGACAGGTCTCTCATGGTCTTGTGTGCTCCCAGAGGGATCTGGCGGGACCACGGTGAGATCCAGGAAGCTGGACTAGAGGGGCCCTTGGCCTGATCCAGCACAGGGCTCTTCTGAGGTTCTTAGGATGACTGAAAATATTCGCAGACATAAGGTTTGTCACTGTTTTTGTAGGTATCCAGCTCTTAACTGGCCAAATACAAAAGACAAACCATGGTTTTGCTTTTGCACTGTGTCCTGATTCCTGACTTGAAACAAAAGGCACAGGAAGTGCCAGATCCTTCAGAATAATTAGACTCATATCTTGGTCTGATACCAAGGCCAAGAAGGTGTTTTTTCAAAAAGAACTGTAGTAGCTCCTGGATCTCCGTGGTCTCCCAGCCTCTATCGATGGTCACAGAGTTGTAGAGTTAAAAGAGGACCTAAAGGGTCATCAAGACCAGTCCTTCAGTGCTCTAATTGTGATGTCAGAAGAGGCTGTAGTAATCATAGGCTTTGTTCTTTGTCAAGATTTCTTCCAAAGCTGTGCAAGGTCTGAAAGCCAAAGGACCATGGATAGGAGTAAACAATCTCTCTCTCTCGGTCAGTCGGTCCAGTCCCATGCCCTCCCCTCTCGTTTAGCAGTGCAGATTGTTGACCAAGGTTCAAAGGTTTACTCCCCAGCTCCAACTTGAGGGGAGAGAGGGCATCTTTCTTACAGCTGCTAGCAGGGTAGATTGGGTTTCAATCACAATTTCAATTGAAAGAATTGGATTTTTGACTATTTAAATACCCCCCCCCACAATTTTTTGAATTTAAATAGTGTTTTAAATCATGATTTAAATCCGTTTGATTAAAATACATAATTGATTTTTATTCACCCTGGGTGCTAAAAAAAACCAACCCTGTACCTGTTGATTCTGACACTCCAGTCCTGACATTCAAACCGGATTCCCCTGGGTGATGGAATTTGTTGAAACATTTTTCTCTGTAAGAAAGCTGCAGAGCAAAGAGGTTGTAATGTCACCAGCTGCACCACTTTGCCCTTGCCTTCTGGGAACAGAACCATATTCGTGAATCTCAAAACTGGCTGGGAAAACAGTAAGTGGCATCAGGAAGAGAAATCACTGCCTCTCGGCAAGTCTTTGAGGAAGCCAAACTGGTCCAGAGCAATTGCATCCATTTGTTAGAAGAAGCTTTATTTGTTTTGATGGTTCTGTTGCCTTGTAAGCTGATGCTGTTTTCATTGTGAGTGATTTTATTAAAGGGACCCACTGGTTGTCGGGAAAATGGCAAAGTGTGAGGCCCCCAAAGTGGAGGCCTTAGTGGGAGTGCCGTCGCTCTCAAAGAGAACCCTCCACACACAGACATCCCCACAGAACGGTGCAATCCGCACATCTGTACAGTGTGGCTCTCATAACGTGTAGATACTCCAGTCCAGGCATCCCTTTCTATATTACACCGATTTGGGCTCTCCCTTCAGTCCACAAAACACTTTGCCGCGTATAATTTTGGCTTCTCCAGCCGGCACATTTGAGAAAATGGCAGATGCATTCAAAACCAGTTTAGAAATGTAAACACAAGATTTAGCTCGCCACATATAAATAATTCTCAGAGACGTAAATATTCCTGGGCTACACTTGGGTGCTTATATTGTTTACCACAGCAGAAATAAAAGTGGCCTCTTGGAGTCATAAAGAAGCACATATGCTGTATTCTGAGTGAACTCCATTTTTATTGATTATGAGCAAAAAAATCAGTGCTAGAGACCAGAGTAGATAAAACTCAATGATTCATGTATCTTTGGAGTGTTTTGTAGCATGGTGTCTCTTCTGTTCTGTTAAAAATCTTCACCAAATTCTGATATTGTTGTACTCTTTTCTTGTTTTTGATGAGTTCAGCATTACTTCCATTGAGAAAGTTCTTTGCAGATAATCCCTTATCAGTTTATTTTTAAATACTGGAGAATATGCAGGCTGTAGATACATACGAGCAGGGAAATGTTTCTTTGGGCAAGTCTGGCAGCTGTACCTGGTACTGTTTACTAGAAATTACTCATTGTTATGCATGCCACACATTTAAACCCAGATTAACCCATGTGGATCCCCATTTCTACCTCTAACAGTGCAAGGCTCTTTATATCAGTCGGCAGTAAGTCCCCCTTGAATGTAATGGTAATGTAATATAATATAAATGTAATGGTTTTCATTTACAGGTATGAGATTGCAGCCTCAGGGTGCAATCCTGTGCACATGTACTTGGGAGTCAGTCCTAATGAACTGAAGAGGTTCTGCGTCAACACTTATATAGGGCTTCTCTGCTAAGCTTGTGATGTCCCCCCTTTAGCACAACTGCTTATTTTTGGAATAGTTCACCAAAACTAGTTATGTGGAGAGCAAGCTGTCCCAGCTAAGGTCTTGCATTTTCTTGCTTAAGATGGTGCATCTGTACAAGTGACTCTCATCAGCTCATTTTTCTTTTTATCCTTCCCCCCCCCATCACATCTCTGGTTTCACTTTTTATGGTTGCATTTATAAAAAGCAGTGTTTGAAGTAGTTCTTCCGCATGATGAGAGTTGAGCATAAAAACAAACAAATGAAAGAAAACCCCCCTAAATGAAAATGTGTAGAAGCATTTTGTAGGAAAACATGAATGCAAACCAGAGGGGACTAGATTGGAAAAATCAAAAGTAGACGTGATGAGTATTGCAGCTATTCATTTTTAAAGGGATTTTTACACATCTGTCATGACTTCAGAATCATGAGCTCTGGGAATTGTGGGGTTTTTCCCTCTCCTTTCAGTAAAGATTCATATCTTTCAGTGAATACTCAGGAAATTGTCTCATATCAGGAATTGGAACAAACTCCATTCTGTTTGTTGAGACTATAATGTGTATTTCTTACATTCCCAGTCTCTAGTGTGCACCACCCATGTATCTCTATCCCCTGAGAGGAGATTATGGGAGCACTTTTCAAATACAAGAAGTGTAGTCATACTGAGGAGGGGCAGGATCTGTTCTTAATCATCCCAGAGTGCACAACATGTCACAATGGGCTCAAATTACAGGAAACCGGATTTAGGCTGAATATCAGGAAAAACCTCTTAAATGTTAGAGCAGTACAAGGGAACTAAATATCTCTGGAGATGGTAAATGCTCCAATGCGGGAGGCATTCAAGAGAAAATTGGACCTCCATCTGTCAGATCTGCTTTGGTTGGGATTCCTGCATTGATCAGGGGGTTGGACTCAGTGGCCTTATTGGCCCTTCCAACTTTATGATTCTATGGTTCCTTGACAAATAAAACTGATGGTTTCTCTGCTCTAGGCCACAGAGTCCCACCTGCCAGAAGTGGCCACCGCTGTGTAGCAGACAGTGCAAACCTGTACGTGTTTGGAGGCTATAACCCTGATTCAGATGAGTCTGGAAGGACAGAAAATCAAGAATTCCCCCTCTTCAGAGAGCTGTGGCGATACAACTTTGCAACAGGCATCTGGCATCAAATGGGCACGGAGGGTTACATGCCCCGAGAGCTGGCATCTATGTCACGTGAGTGCAAGGGGAGACCTCATTTCTGTAGTTCAAGAGAAGTGGAAGACAAGAGTTCAGAATAGCATCTTTCTCCCTTCTAAATTGGCACCGGAGTCAAAAGAGGAGAGCCATTTTCAGGATCTCAGTCACATTACCTGTGTTGCCCATTTAAGTCTCGTTTTTCACCGTTGGGGACCAAAAGGAACATGAACTTAGGTAGTTGCTGGCCAGTGGTCGTCCCCTGGGACAGCTCTTTCTTACAGGCAGATGACTTTTCTCCTTTTGAAGTTCAGCAGTGAAAGAGAGGGGTGGAGTGTATTTTCATTATGGTTCATTGCCATGGATATCTGTGCTAGGCAAGAGGTGGAAAAGTCCTACGTGAACAAATAAATGTGACTAGTGGAAATTACACACAATTGCATTTTTGATGGCATGTTTTCTGTGTCCGCTTGCCCTCATTCTTTATATACAACCGGTACATTGAGCAGGCCACCATTCACACTATCCTTCCAGCTCTATCACCCATATAGGGTTTACCACTGCTCTTAGAGATGAGCATAAAGCCATTCGTCTCACTTTGTCAAAATCCGAATTTCAGTGAAATTGGATGAATCGCTTCATGCCCTTTTCTTATTGCTCGATTGGGCTCCCTCCTCCTTTCTTAGCCCTCTTTCCTTTAGTGCTGTCTGTTTCCCCTTCCCAAGAAGCAGTTCAGTAGAAAATATCCTGCCAGCCCTTTCTCTGATGGATTAAGACATAGCAAATTAACCCTCCTGTGTGGTCTCTTTTTTTCTCCTTCCCATTTTGCTAGTTGTGTTGCATGGGAATAACCTTCTGGTCTTTGGCGGTACCAGCATTCCATTTGGCGAGAGCAATGGCAACGACGTCCATGTCTGCAACGTGAAGTACAAGCGCTGGGCCCTGTTCAGTTGCCGAGGGAAGAAGCCCAATCGCGTCTATGGTCAGGTACGGGATTGGTGCACAGATCTGGTCTCCCCCGGCTGTTGGAGGCCCCTTTACCTGCAGGCAGCAGCTCCATTCCTGAAGGGCTTCTGCGTCTGCAGAGGATCTGCCTCTTGGCTTACGTTCACCTCCTCCTCCCATTAGAAAATGGACAGTGGAAGGGACTTCTTGGTACCGGGAAGCCAGCGAGCACCGCCGTATACACAGAGAAGGGGGTTTCCTTCGTGAACTTGAGACTTGATGTGATTTTTAGGGCCAGATCAGAACTCGTCTTTGCTTGGCAATCAAGACGTACTTCCGTACTTCCAAGAATCGGATGAACACAGTCTGTATCTAGGAGACAAGAGGAGATACACGTTTCCTAAGTGCCTGGTTGGGGGTCCCCTCCCTTATTGCAGGATGGATTAAAAATCTGATTTTTTAAAAAAACCAAATTGATCTAAATCACAATTTACATTTGTTTAAAAATGATTTTAAAAATCCAATTTTAAAAATTCAAATTGTGGTTTGAATCAATCTGATTTAGATCCATTTGATTTAAATCAAGTCCACCCTGCCCCCTGTGCAAGCTTACTGTTGAATTCCCTCACGGTGACAAGGTGGGTTAGGAAAAGGGACAATGAAGAAACATTGTCTTGAAATTGACCCCCATGGATGTAGAATTATGCAGGGATGCTGCCAAGTCTGTGGGTCTGAGTCTTGGGTAAAGGTAAAGGTTCCCCTTGACACTGAGTCCAGTCGTGTCCGACTCTAGGGTGCGGTGCTCATCCTGTTTCCAAGCCGTAGAGCCAGCATTTGTCCGAAGACAGTTTCCGTGGTCATGTGGCCAGTGCAACTTAGACACGGAACACTGTTACCTTCCCACCGAGGTGGTACCTATTTATCTACTTGCATTTTACATGCTTTCAAACTGCTAGGTTGGCAAGAGCTGGGACAAGCGAGGGGACCTCACTCTGTTGCGTGGATTAGATCTTATGACTGCAGGTCTTCTGACCCTGCAGCACAGAGGCTTCTGCGGTTTAACCCGCAGTGCCACCACATCTTGGGTATCAAGTCCCATGTCTGAGTCTCTTAAAAACAAGCTTTTCCCCACAGAAAAAAGGGTGGGTAGATTCTGAGTCATGAGTTGAGTCCAAGTCATTGAAAAACGACCACAAACCGAGTCAATTCCGAATTGAGTCCCTGGTGCTACGAAGTCCAATAAGGGAAAAGGATTTTGGAGTCCTTGTAGATTAGAAGCGGAATATGAAATGTGTGAGGTGGCTGCAAAAAAGGCCAATGCGATTTTAGGCTGCAGCAACAGATATCTAGTCCTCAAATCCCATGAGGTGCTGGTCCCTCTCTATTCAGCACTGGTTAGACCTCCTCTTGAGTCCTGTGTCTGCTTCTGGACACCACCCTTCAAGAAAGATGCTGACAAACTGGAACCAGTTCAGAGGAGGGCAATGGGGAGGATCAGGGGGCTGGAACAAAAGCCCTAGGAGGAAAGACCAAAGAGCTGGGCATGTTTAGCCTTGAAAAAAAAAAGACGATGAGGAGATAGGAGAGCACTTTTCAAATCCTTGAAATCCTTGAAAAGTTGTCCTACAGAGGAGGGGCAAGATCTTTTCTCCATCATCCCAGAGTGCAGGGAATGCAACCATGGGCTCAAGTGACAGGAAGACAGAATATCAAGAAAAATGTTAGAGCAGTACGACAATGAAACCCATGACCTTAAGAGGGAGGTGGTGGGTGCTCCAACGCTGGAGACCTTCAAGATAAATGTAAACAACCTCCTGGCAAGTACCCTTTGGTCGGGATTCCTGCCCTGAGCAGGGAGTTGGACCCGATGGCCGTAGAGGCCCTTTCCAACTTCATGATTCTATGATTTGACAGCAAGTCCCACGGAATTGTGATTCACCACATCGTTTGGGAATGGATTTAAAAATCGTCCTGAGACAATGATGGCAGAGCTGCCTTTGGGTGGCAGAGCAGGTTCTCAGCCGGCATTTTCTTTCCTTCCAGGCGATGGCAATCATTAATGGATCCTTGTATGTATTTGGAGGCACGACAGGCTACGTTTACAGCACAGACCTGCACAAGCTGGACTTGAACACCAGGGAGTGGACCCAGTTGAAGCCCAACGACATACACTGTGGTATGCCGGAGGAAAGGTGAGCTTCCCTGAATCGTGGCAACGGCTGCCCCAAACCACGTAGAACGGGGACCCCTCATTGTACCTGTCCTTCTGTTTCGGTTCTCCTCCCTCTCTTCTTTCTAAATCAAAAATGATGTGGCGAGTCTCGCCGTCTGCTAACAGTGCTCACGCTGGTCTTACCCTCTTAGCCCAGATAGAAACATCTTCTAGGAGAGTTTTCCCCCCGTCCTGATCTATCACTCACCCCACCCACTCGTTCTCCAAGAAACCTTACCGCTGATGGGTCTGTAAATTGAAGTCGGAGAGTGTTCAGGGAAGCCAGTCATGTGGAGGAGCTGCCAAGAGAGAAGCGTAGATAAGCCCTTTAGGCTGGAAAGGGTCTTGAAACTGGAAGAAAGTAGGAAGAACGGAAGTGAATCCAGAAAACAAGAGGGTGTGTGGTCTGGGTTCATTTCTGAAAGAAAAGCTCACCTGCCACCCATTTTTGTAGGTACAGTGCTGACTTGTTGTTGTTTAGTTGTTTAGTTGTGTCCGACTCTTCGTGACCCCTTTATGGACCAGAGCACGCCAGGCCCTCCTGTCTTCCACTGCCTCCCGGAGTTGGGTCAAATTCATCTTGGTTGCTTCGATGACCCTGTCCATCCATCTCATCCTCTGTCGTCCCCTTCTCTTGCCTTCACACTTTCCCAATATCAGGGCCTTTTTCCAGGGAGTCTTCTCTTCTCATGAGATGGCCAAAGTATTGGAGCCTCAGCTTCAGGATCTGTCCTTCCAGGGAGTTGACTTACTTGAGAGTAAATGCCGCTGTTATAGGGAGACAGACTTGTGAGCAATTAATGACTAGAATTCAATTGCAGACTGAGCATCTCTCTGTCTGTCTGTCTGTCTGTCTGTCTATCCGTCCATCTGTCAACCCCCACCTACCTACTCCCAAGCCCCCCCCCCAGCCCAGGGCTTGTGTGGTTTTGTTTGAACTCTTAAGTAGAACTGTAAACTGTTTAAATACATGATTTTCCCACTCGTGACATTATATTATGAGTGCAGTTGTAAACAGTATCACAGCTTAACTTGGGAACAATAATCATTTTATAGTTAAACTCCTCTTACAGACATTGGTATCTTCCTTACCAAATCCTGAGCTGATTCATTTAGGATCATAGTCACATGCTTGCTGAGGACCTTTGTGGTTAGGATGCCCCCACACTCCGCTCTCTTCATCTTTCCCACCCCCTCCTTTCCCCTGCCCAGCCCATGGCCCAGGTGGTTTTGTTTGAATTTGAAAACAGATGATGTGACTCCTGTAATGTCACCGCTTGATGACAGAATAGGCTTAAAAACTTGAATGTGCTTTTAAGGATTAGAAATGTGTTTGTGTGTGTGTGTTTTTTTTTAATGTTGTGAGTTGGAAGGTGAGATATGAACCAGAAGGCTTGCTTCCTCCCTTCAGGTACAGACATGAGATCGCACACGATGGACAGAAGATTTACATTTTGGGAGGTGGAACGTCTTGGACAGCCTATTCGTTGGACAAGGTAATGTGGTTCATGGCAAAGGCCCTCTGATAATCTTGATTTCTACCTGGGAGGCAGTGCATTATGGCCGCTCCGTCAGCAGGCTGTGGAGGGTGCGAGGTGAAAATTTGGGACACCAGTTGCAGCTCAGACCGACGGCTGCGTGAGCTGGTGAATGGCATTGAGTTTGGTCTCCAGAATGCCAGAATCTTCATTCTTCACTGAATCTTCAGCTTGCCGTAAGTGACAAGGGGCCATTACGTCAGGTCAGGTTTTGGGACTCATCTCCCCATCATTTCTCCGTGTCACACCTGAACACCTCGTTCTGGAGAACCCCAACGCTTACCCCGCTTGTGACCTGCAAAAGTTCAAGCAGAGATATTCCTTCCCCTGCCACTAGCTTTGCATGGATTTTTGCACATCTAGTATCTTCGGTCCTTTTCATGGTCATGGAAGGCAAGAGGGTTTTAACCATTTTCAATTTTGGCGCGTGGGTCATTCTCAGAGTGAGATGAAGCAGACAGCCAAGACGAGGTGATTCCCACTCCTGAGCCGATGGGAAGGGGCCAAATTCGGGGGAAGCACGTGAGAGTCCCATTACGCAGATGAAGCTCTGTTTGTGCAAGACTGGAGACCTGCCGTTAAAGTCAGAGATATTTTTTCTTAATATCTTTCACAGCTGCGTTCTTGCATCCAAACCCTTTCAGGGTTGTTAGGAAACCTAAAAAAAAGCCCTGAGTGGGTCAGACTGAAGACCAGGCCTATCTACCTCGGCAGTGTTTTCCCTACAGCGGCCAAAGAAAAGTGTGTGGGAAGCCCAGAAGCTGCACAGGAGTGGAGTGTCTCTCTCCTGCTCTCGGCCTCTGAACCTGGAAGCTGCACATAGGTCACCTAATTGCTAGGGATGGGGACAGATATAAAACTGAATTGCAGTTTTCAGTGAATATTGCCGATTGTCACATATTCATTGCTTCCCTCCTCCGAGACCAGCAGCACCCTCTATTACCTTCTCCACACCAGAATTGGAGGTTGTCCATGACTTTGTGTACCTTGGCTCAATGATCTCTGACACCCTCTCCCTAGATGATGAGCTGGATAAACGCATTGGCAAAGCAGCTACCATGTTCTCAAGACTCAAAGAAAGTCTGGCTCAATAAGAAGCTGATGGCATCTACCAAGATCCAGGTCTATAGAGCCTGTGTCCTGAGCACACTCCTGTACTGCAGTGAGTCCTGGACCCTTTGTGTACAGCAGGAGAGGAAGCTGAACACATTCCATATGTGTTGCCTCTGACACATTATTGGTATCACCTGACAGGACAAAGTTCCAAATAGAGGAGTCTTAGAACAAGCTGGAATTTTTAGCCTGTATACATTACAAATAACCCTCAGTTCTAGAGTGTTGCCCTCGCTCTGTGACTCTGTGAGGGAGGCGATCCGTGACCAGCTTTCACGGCCACAAAGGTGTAAGGTTCACTTCACAGCAGATCTGTGGCCACTTTGCCAGCTGGCTCAGTCACTTTCCTGGGCGGACCCACTTTGTGGGTGAATAACTCGGACCTCTGAAACCCAATCTTCACCAAACTTGAAAGGCCTTTAGAGGAAAGACATAGGAAGCTTTGTGATTTTGATTTCTCTAGGTGCCTAGGGGGAATTTTTCCTGGGGCCACCCTCCTTGTGGCTCTATAACTTCAACATCCAAAACCCACACTTCACCAAACTTGTAGGGTTTGTAGAAAAGAGTCAGGGGAAGCTTATCTGCGGATTTGATAGCTCTAGGTGTCAGGGTTTTATAGTGTTTTTTTATAGTGTTTTAAATTGAAGATGAATCACCAAGTTGATTTGTCCCAAAATATTTGTAAATCTGTATTTGTCAATTTGTTGACCTTGACGAATTGCTACAAATCCCTTTTTATTTGTGTCTCATCCCCATCTCTACCAGGGATTTATAACCCAGTCTTCCATGAATGTATATCTAATCCCTTTTTAAAACCACATAAATTGGTGGCCATCACCTCATCTTGCAGTAGAGAGCTCCATAGTTAACTGAGGTGCTATGTGACTCTTGTAAGGAAAATGTGTTCGTCTTGTTAGGAAGATTATCATTTGTTCATGGCAGCTACCTAGTTTCCCAGACCAGTCAGAAAACACAGAGTAGGTCTTCTGATTTGTCACTGTTTCTGTGCCTTTCACTCTGGGTATGCTGTTTTTAAGGCCCTCATGGCAGCATTTTGATTCCATCCCATACAGTGAAAATTGATGACATAAACTCTACCCATCCCACCCCACTCACTAGGAAAATCAACCCATAACATCAAGGAATAAACAAGCGAACTGATAAATTTCCAGACAGTTCAAGAGACAACAAAGAAAAAAAATTATCCTAAATGATAGCAATCCAGTAGCGATGTATGGAAGTGAGAGCTGGACCATAAAGAAGGCTGACCGCCGAAGAATTGATGCTTTTGAATTGTGGTGCTGGAGGAGACTCTTGAGAGTCCCCCTGGACTGCAAGGAGAACAAACCTATCCATTCTGAAGGAAATCAACCCTGA